GCATATCTACATTTTGCTTCTAAAACAAATGATAAAATTATTGTGTTTCTATATATAATTATACATAATTGCTGTATATTATTGCATATGCAGGTTATTTGCACATATACATGACTACGAGGAAACACTAAAGATTGACGAATATTTCAAAAATCACAAGTGGACTGAGCCGTTTTTAACAACTGAAGAAGGCAAGGAATACGCAACACCTTTCAAAGCATTAAGAATGAAATATTTATTGTTACATGAACAAGATGATAAAATTTTATACAGTGATAATTTAATACCACCAGACTGGCTACATAATGCTTACAGAGAACAATGGCTTCACTTATTAAGAGTGGATGGAAATAAAGACAGAGGGTAGGCTACAAATACAGTTGAATTTTTTTTAGTAGAAATAATATAAACAGGACTACATATTTTTTTCTCCATAGTCCAGTACAAATGACGGAAGAGGAATTTTCCAAGGAGTGCTATCGGTGTGGTAGATGTGTCGAGAAACCAGGTGAACACATTTGGAGGTGGAAGGCATTCCACTATGGGCTAGATTTACTAATGACTTTAGATACAACTAGCCTGCGGATTGAAAGAAACCACAGAATAGACTGCGAGCATATCAAGGCAAACCACAAAGAGCATAAAATATTGATAAAGTAAGCTACAGATCATTAGCTAGTTAATTTAACAGTTTACATTAAAAAATGATAACAATAAATTTTTTTTCATTTTAGAGTTTGTCTATTTTCACTGAATGAACAACGCCAAGTGAAACATGTCCAAGACTCGCGTATGCTGAGATTACGTTTGAGAAGGAACACAGAAGTAAGTTTACATCGACATTTAAGAGCAACAATGTTTTTAATTTTATATAATACACAATAAATCACATGTTAATGCATCTTTTTCTCAGCACGAAATAATGGCGCTGGACAAACAGTTATGTTATCCTTTGTACATATCGGTCAACATGCAACTAGTCACTCCACTTACATTAGGACAAGAGGACACATCAACTGACATACTTTCGGATACTTAGCATTTCGAGAATGTAATGCTTTATGAACATGTAAAGATAAAGGATATGGGATCCAACTGACGCTTTGTAATATATTTTGTTTAATTATTACGAATGTTAGATGAAGTTCGTAGACACACGTTACTATTTGGCACAACACTTAAATAAGCAGAAATATGGATTTCCAATAGACTTTTTTTTCTTTTACGAAAGGTACAGAATCCATTCTTATCATATTTTCTCATTTCTAACAAATTCTTTAGTTAATTTGGAATCGATTTTTTTTCAATGAAAATGTTTTATGCAGGATCTACAATAGGAGTCGTACAGTTGTAGAGTCTTAAATAGAAAAACATAGTCGATTATTCTCCTTATATTAGATTGATAAATTTCCTACGACTTAAGACTCCACGACCGTCTATAACTCCTATTGTAAATCCTGCATTATAGTTTTTACATTAGCAGTAAATAATAGACATTTAAATTTATATTTAAATAGATAATAAAATTTATATTTAAATATTGGGTCGTGAAGGAAAAGTTCTGCGGTATTTTTTAGTTCGAAATTGTATATACAATATCTTCGTTAAAAACAATCAAAATTTAAATTTAAAAGAAGGATTCTAGACCCGTACAACATTACTTTGAACATTACTTTAAACGAGATTTACAATTCTTTCTATCTCGTTTTAAAACTGAAAAGAGGTAGGAACAAAAGAGTTTTAAGCTTCGCTTAAAATTAAAGTAATGGTGCAACCGGGTCTTAGAGCTTGAAATTTCTACTTTCGAATGATTACTATATTTTTTTAATTTATGTGAGTTTTAATTTTTACATACAGAAAATTACGAGCTGAAACAAATTAAAAATTTTCTTTGCAC